CAGCCAGCCCCCGGGTCTCACACGCCGCCAGCCCCGGGGTCTCACACAGCAGCCAGCCCCGGGGTCTCACACAGCACCCAGCCCTGGGGTCTCACAAACAGCCAGACTGGGGGTCTCACAAGCAGCCATCCCTGGGGTGTGCGCTGGGCAGCCCTGGGTCCTACAAGCCTCCAGCCTGGGATTCACACGCAGCCAGCCCTAGTGTCCCACACAGCAGCCAGAATGGGGGTCTCACACGCAGCCAGCCCTGGGGTGTGCGTTTGTTTACGCCAATGCCGCCCCTGCAGGTGGTGGCTGCAGCTCCCATTTATGGATCTTGCTGTCAATTTTAGAGTTCTGGCCCTCCTCACCCCTAGAATCTGCGACTGACCTTGCCAGCCAGGGGCTGCAGATCTCCCACGTCCTCTCAGCCCATCTCCTGGCCCCTTTTGAGGTAAAGCTGACGAGGGGCGGTCTGGACCAGAGAGGCGCAGGAGCTCAGATTCAGACCCTCAGGGCATGGAGGTCCAACATTGGAGTGCAGCTGGTGCCCTGGTAGTTTATTGAGCTCTCACCCTGGGACCTGGCCCTGATGCATTTTCCTTCCATATATAGCATCAATTCATCCTCACCACAGCTGGTGAGGTGGGCATAAGGGTCCCCATTTTACAAATGAGGTAATTAGATCTCAGAAAGTTGTTACCCAAAATTGTGCAGCAAGGTGTGAATGTGGGTCATCGACTCCACTCAGACTCCTTCACTGGGACCAGGACGTGTCCTGAGAGCAGACCCTCCCCTGCCTCCTGCAGCCTCCTTCCCTCATCTCATCTGCTCCCACAACCACATTGTGAGGGGACCAATTTTGAGCCTCACTTTAATAGTTTAAGCGATGGGGGCTCAGTGAGGACCCCTGAAGAGTATCCGTAAGAATGGGGAAGAGGGGTCTCCTTGGTGGCACAGGGGGTTAAAGCACAGCACTACGAAGCTAGCCACAGCCACTGCAGCAGGAGTTTGATCCCCCCGGCCAGAGAGTGACCCCCAGGGAGCAACAGACCTCTCCAGTCTCCCCACTGCTCCCCTCAGCAGTGTGTTTCAGTCCATCTGTCTGTTCTGCTCCCCACTCTGTCTCTGGGGAATCCTCTCATCCCCTCCCCCCCGTGCTTCAGGCCTGTACCCCAGTTCTTATGTGCATAAATAAATAAATCTTTAAAAAATAAGAAGAGTAGGAAAGCACAGGTCAGAGAAGACATGGGGACACCAGTCAGCAACACAGCAGGGAGGGGACCCAGGAAGGAGCCCGGCTCTTCTTCCAGTGAGGGGTGTGTGTGAGTGTGTGCTCCCCCTGAGCAAAGCTCCCAACCTGGCAACATTTTGGCACTCTGAGGTGCACACGGGGGTGTCCGGGACGGTGCCTCCTCCCTGATGACAGGCCTCACTGGTCACCCTGTTGGCATCTCGAGGGGCTGCTGTTCATTTCTCCTCCACCCTGCCTGGCGCACCCTGGCTCTGGGGCCAGGCCCTCCTCTAGTGGCAGGGACTTGACATAGCTAAAGTGGGAGGGGCGACAGGTGGATGACACAGTGAAGGCGACAGCCCTCCTCCTCTGCTCCCACTGCCCTCTTGACTGCCAGTTCTGTCTCCATATTCGGTCTCCTCCCATCTCCCCACCTACATCTCTGACTCTAGGCCTCCCCTCTAGGCCTCAGCTCCCCTGTCCTTCTGCAGAGGGTTCTGGGGACCATGGGGCGGGGATGATGAAGAGGAAGCGATGAACCAGAGGGTCCCAAGGAGAGGCTTCTGGAGAGAGATGCAGAACATGGATGTCAGTGATTTATTGGGAAGTCCCCACCCCAAACACCAGCAGCCCTACCCAAGCCAGAAATAAATAATGTGGCATTCAGTCACCCAGCCTGTCTCCCTCCTAAGGAGCTCGGGGGACGGGTTACCCTCTGCTGTCCTGGGGCGGGGGTCCATTTGGCTCTTGAGGAGGGGGGTGCTCACTGCAGGCCACCCCTTGTGGCCTGGCCGTGGGGCAGCCGCGAATATGACATGACCTTCACAGCCCCTGAGGTCCGACCTCACTCGCAGTGGGTCCTGCCCCAAAGAGACCCCTCCCACCAGCCCCTGGCACCCACCCCAACAGGCCCATCATGGGTTCCTGCCCCCATCTCTAGCTGCAGCTGGGGAGCCAGCACCTCCTCCCCAGCCCCCAGCCCAAAGGACCCAGCCGTGGGGGAAGCAAGTGTCACTGTGATAGCTTTCTTCTCCCCCTGGGGTTCAGCAGCTGAGGGGCCGGCCCTTGTCTGACTTGGTCAGTGGGCAGTCAGCTCCATGGTCTTCTTCCGCTCCTCCCGTTGCTCCTCCCAGTCCTCGTCGGGCTCGTAAGTGCCCTTGACAACGGCCACACGCTCACTCAGGCTCAGAGAGTTGGGGAAGAGCAGGTAGAAGTAGAGGATGGCGGCCAGGGCAGCTCCCACGATGGGCCCCACCCAGAATACCTGGTGGAGACAGAGCAGTGGGCCGGGGGCCGCATCCCAGTCTCAGAGCAGGGCCTCCCCACGAGCCCTCAAAGGAGGCAGACATATCAACATCCGAGTCTCCAGTGGGAAAGACTTCCTCTTACCCTGGGTGCTAGACTGACACCCCCACTCCCCAGTGACATGACTCAGACACCCCGAACCTCCAGGGCAGCAGACAGAGCTCTGGAGGAAAGGTTTCCCCGAGTCCCCCCTACAGAGAGACCAATGAACTTCCAGAAAACAGGCAGAAGGATACTTAGAGACACAGAGGAAAAGAACGCCTCTCCTCCCAAGCGGGAGACACGCTGGGGAGAGGCCACCCAGAGGCGAGCACAGACAGCTCATC